TGGCAAGAAAGTATGGCATAATTAATCAGAGAACAACTAGAAAACAAGACACAACTCTCCTTGGCCTATTGGTTGAGAGCTTAGGCTTCCAACTAAGAGGTCTAGGGTTCGAGTATATGTGTATGCGTTGTGAGTGTAAGTTTGCCTTAAATGGCCTAAATGTCCCAAAAAAAAAAACTAGAAAACAAGATTTTGAAATACTCATTTTACTTCTCTGTTTACTTCTACAGAAGTACCTACAGGAAGTAGAGAGAAAAGCAAGCAGTGATGGCTGCCAAACCAGGACCAGCACTTGCAAATTTGAAACATAGAAGAAACAGGCAGAATCCTTGAGAGTTAGTTTTTGCCTGAATCACCTCAAGTGATATAACACATTAGATAAACATTTTTATTGTAAACCTGTGTATGGAAGTTGTGGCATTCTATAATTTAACATAATTTCTTCAGAGTGAATGCCCTAACACTACCAACTTTACAGTAAAATATGAGAGATTATTCTGTGCGGACGCCGGACGGGAAGAACCATTCGGTTTTGTCTTTGTGAAAAGTAAAAGCACACTGTTCACAAAAACAAACCGGACAATTTTCCCCGTCCGGGGCCTACACATAATAATTCATCAAAATATGGTGATTGCATGCAAAAACAGCTAATTTTACATACCAAGCATCCATCTCCACTTTCTCCAGTGCAATACTCTGCCAAATTTATTAAACCTAACTATCAAGTAAAGATCAAATTATCACTATCTTGAAAATACAATCCTATCATCATATGATAATACAACTAAAAGAAGCAAACGAAAACAAAAAAGAATAAAGGGCATTGATTGAAAATATGTGAAAATATGTCCTTTCAAAATGGTGCACTGTAAATCACCTTACTTGAAAAAAGTAACTAAAAGAAAGCCGAGAAGGGCGCGGCGCAAATTTCTGTTTGAAATCACTTTTAGAGCGGCTATCCAAATTTCTGTACATAAAGAAAAATAAAACGCAGCTCTACATTTGCCCTTCGCTTACTGTCATTTTCTTTCCAGCTGACTGAAGTAGGACAATCTGTCGGACGCCAATTTTATCAGTTCAGAGCGTCTAATCTGGATTGAACAAATTACAGTTCTCATACCATTTACCTTGCGACTTACGAGAGGTATAACCACCATTAAATGATGGACTGATTTTTTTTTTTTTTTTTTGTAAACTGTTGTAATTTTAGTAGTAATAGACCTAGTGAGGGGATTGTGACTTTGGGTGATCAAGTAATTAATAAGAGTACACGTTTTAAATATCTTGGATCTATTGTTTAGAGTGATGGTGAAATAGATGGGGATATTATCAGCAAAATTCATGTTGGATGGTTGAAGTGTGAGGAATGCATCGGGCTTGTTGTATGATAAAAAAAGTACCCCTCAAACTTAAGGGAAAATTCTATTAGATGGTGATGAGGCCTGCAATGCTTTATGGTGCCGAATGTTGGCCATTAAAAGAGAAGCATAATAATAAGTTAAGTGTGGTAGAGATGAGATGCTTAGGTGGATGAGTGGCTTTACCCTTAAAGATAAGATACGAAATGAGCATATACATGAAAAGGTTGGAGTAGCTCCAATAGAAGATAAGATTAGAGAGAGACGCCTTAGATGGTTTGGTCACATAAAACGGCGGCCTTCCGATGACCCGGTTAGAAAAGTAGAGATATTAGATTTAACTTATGTTAAGAAAGGTAGAGGCAGGCATAAAAAAGACTTGGTTAGAAATTATTAGAAATGATCTTTCTCTATTAGATTTAAAAGAGAATTTGACTTTTAATATGACACAATGGAGAAAAAGGATTCATGTAGCCAAACCCCACGTAGTGGGATAAAGGCTTGATGTTGTTGTTGTTGTAAACTGTTATTATGTGTTAATTCAAACAATACACAACATATGATACAATGAACCTGAGAAGAACCCTCAGAATTACATGAAATAACATCCATAATATTAAAAAGGGTCAAATTACTTGAAAGGACAACTCAAATATTTAAAGTGAGGGCTAATAATTGATGAAATTGTCTAAATTTTAACAGAATAACATTACTTGTTATATTGCAAAATTGAAATAGGAGAGAACATACCTACCATAAAAGATACTTTAAGTGCAAGTTACATTATCGTCGCTCTTAAGAGGTAGCCTACATTTTACAGAAATAATGTCCAATTTTGTAGCTCAAAGCAAGCATGGCAGCAGATAAGACAAACACATGGAAGCCACCCCTGCAAAATGTAGAATAAAATCCACTGAACAGCTTTTTTCCAGGCTCACGAATGACTGATTTTCCAACTAAACTGCCACCGATGCCATAAGAAAGGTGGACGCCCAGTTCTGTATGCTTCTGCAATGTCCAGCTCTCAGCGTAGTCCACAGATGTCCAATTGCCTATTTGGATCATACCTGTAGTAAGATGAAGCGCACTTCCTGAAGCGGCAGGGATATGCCTGGCCGTTTTGCCAATCAAAGCTGCTTCATCAGCAAAAGCAGGGGGGGCTGAAATTGAATTCAGCACACTAGCAAGACATTTTGTTAATGTATTATCCTCACAATCTTTAGGTTTGATATCTGTCACAGCATTTCTATGAATGTTAGATTTCAGGAAGAATGTCATTGAATTGAGCAGTAATTTATAATCGACCACAAAAGTATCACTTCTAATTTGGGAAACTCAGGTTTCGTTTGGGACAGCTCTCTGCTTGCTTTCTAAACAATTTTTCAGTACAAAAATTTCCTGAATTTGATTTTTTTTACTAAAAAACCGTTTTAAAAAGCAGTATGAAAGCTGTCCCAAACGAAGAGATTAAATCATCAATAATATTAAAATGCAGCGCAAATTGCGCCAAACATGCAGTGGTATGACAAATAAGCCCAGATTAAGACAGCATACAAATAGGCCAGTGAATTTCGGAGTGATCAGTTATTATGTTTAATAAGTTGGCATACATATAGTTGGAATTTAATATTACATGTGAATGAGTTTGCATATAATTCATTTGTCACTAAGTCAATTGGCATAAAATAATTATTGGATTTCAACCTAAGAAACCTATAGACTTAGGCTTCATTTGAGATAATTTTCTTCTTGCTTTTTAAAACAGCCTTTTAGTACAAAAAGTTCTTAAAAACAGCGAAAAAGCCATGTCCAAAATCTGTCACAAACTAAGCCTTAGTTGATATATCTAAGTCTAGTACTAATGAATTTTGGCAATCATTTCGACAACATATGTAAGATTTGCATTAAAAAATAATTGGCAATCATTACGACAACATATGTAAGATTTGAATTAAAAAATAATAATAATAAACATGTTAATAAGTTTATATGGAAATCAAACAAGATAAAGTTATAACCAAACTGAATATAAAAAAAAAATTGTGAACTCTTGAAAATTAATTACTAGAAAATAGAACCATATAAAATATAATTAATATGAAAAATGCTTATAATTTAGAAATTCCAAAAAAAAAATTGAGATTAGTCCATTTTGTAAAATATTTGATCTAATTTCATATCATAACCCATCAACCAATGCCTTAGATCTTCTATTTTTACCTTATGTGACATCTAATATATCATTCAAGCATTCCTCAAACAAACATAACAATTTACTTCTTGTTTTAACTGCTGATGAAATTATGTCCAATACAACGGTATATATCATTGTTCTCTTGTGAGTGGAAAAAACATACATATGTGAAGATTAATCAATATCTCTAATAAATAAATAAAATGCTTGAATCTACTGAAAAAGTTAAGCAATTCAATGATTTTTTTTTTCCAGCAGTGCAAAGTTGATGCAAATCAATAATTATCGTGGATACAAAATATTTAACTTATTATTATATTTATTATGTGTGCATTTTTTATATTGAAATTCAATGTCCATGACGCTATTCTACTTTCAAAATTGTGGTTATCCAATTCTTATAGTAATTCGAGTCCTTAGAATTAGTCTGCTTTGCAAATGATATTACTAACAAGGAATTCTATTTCTAAATTTGCTTTTCAATTATCTAGAAAAGTTTGACAACCATATTTAGCCACTATGTTTCTTCTTCTATTTCTATGTCTAGCTTATCAACAATACAGTTCAATTGCTCAATTTCATGACTCATCTACTTCCTATTTCCCGCAACTCTATTTATTTGTTCTTTTGGCTCATATATTTTTTATTTCTATTGAACCACTACTTTGCGAGAAGTGTTGCACGTAAAGCTACCTAGCCTATCATGAGATTGTGCACCAGACATAGACAAAAAAATGGATAAACCAATTATGAAAAATTGATAGAATTGGTTCAATTTGATTTAAGATTTTAGATTTTGGATAAGTCCAATATATTATTTGGTTAATGTTAGGAAATACTTGAATATTTCAAGTAAATTCTAACAATAAAAGCAAAAATAGTGAGAACGATCCACAAACCCAATGAAAAGAACGGAAAAACAGTAGTTTTTATAGCAATAGTCAAAATAACTGAAGAAAATAGCAAGATACAATTGATCCTCAATTCGAGAGTAGGATCTATGATGAGGGAACCCGATCGTGAAAAGTTTATCAGAGAAGGGGCCGAAGATCTACGGCTATGATTGGATCACTTTATTTCTGAGCTTTTGTGTATTTGATTTATTTAAGTATCTTTTCTGTTTTTACCCTCACTTGAGGAAGTAGGCTTATATGACCCTAGAGGGGACTTTTATCATTAGATATGTCATTGCATTTTGGCTATTTATAGACCCCTTCCCCTCTTTGGAGAGGATCATGATTATTATGAATGAAAAAATTATGCACCTTGTTTCTTGGAGAATTGTGAGAGTTTGAAGTCCCTAGGTGAGGGCAAGGCATCACCCGTTAGCTACAGGAAGCATCCGGGCTCGCGGCCAATCCCCTTTGCAAGCTTCCCTCCCTCCTTCCTCCTAGTCGCCGGTCTCCCTCAACCCCCAACCTAACCGCCAGCTCCACCTCCCCTCATAGCCACCGGCCACCACCTCTTCCCTTGACTCCTAAAATTTAAAACATAGCATTCAATACTTTCCTAACTTGATGCATTATAAATTCGAGAAGTCAATAATTTCATATTAAATATTAAAATAAATTTGAAATTCCTTTCTAAAATGAGAAGAGTTATGTTAGGAAGGTTTCCCCCAATCATGCTAACATTAATTTGAATAAAGATTGCCCTAAATTTCCTTTCCCAATAAGTGTCCTAAATTTAGCAATCTCTTTAAACCCTCTCCTTAATTCCCTCTCCCTAGCCTTGCCTCCCCCACCCCTCTCTCCTCTAATTATTATTTTCCCATTAATGCTCCCCAATCAATTTTCATCCCATTAGGGTGTGCCGCCCCCTCCTTACCCCCAATTTATGGACATTCAAATTCAAATCTTCCCCAATCTTTCCTCCACTTAAAGCAGCCATTAATTCTTATTAAATCCCAAATGATTCTTGTCTTAATTTGCATGCCACCTAGACAAGAAATCAATTCTAGAATTTTGTTAATTGCTGGAATTAAATTCAGAGTTTCCTATTTGCTGCACTTCCTAACACATCACCCCAAGTAAGGAATTAAAACACCTCTCTAGGGCCGGCGATAAGCACCCCCACCCGCCTCTCTGCAATTCTTCTCCTTCACTTGATGTTTTCACCTCAGAAAGAGAAATAAATCCTCCTCCCTTGACCGGCCACATCCCAACCGTTCCGACACTTCAAAGCGCATCCAAGAACGATCAACGATCGGATCCTGGAGAATGATGGAGCAAAGTCCAGAAGCTTGAGAATGGTGAACTCCTCCTAAATCTTTTATCTTTAAATCCTCCTCAATTGTGACATCGTTGAAATTATTAAGGCTTCTCCGCTTAGCCCTTCTTATAAGTGTGTGTGAGTGGATGCTTATAGTAACTAATCTAATTGTTAATTGAGGAATTTTCTTTGAACGCACCACATTAGCTGGGTTTGATTAAAATTGATTATTTTGAGCTCCTAATATTATCACCTAATTGAATGCTTGAGCTTAATCACTATCTTGTTGGTTTTAATCTTTAGTTTAATAAGTGGGAAGTTGATTAATTATTATTGTTCTTATTATGAGCGTGTAATTTCAAATTTAATAACATCACATGTGCATATAGTTCTACATCAATCTAACTCTCACAATCCCTAGGCTCTGTTTGAGCCCAAAACACCAAACTCCAAGAATAAGAACAGACTCAATAATTTGCATATTCCTAACCATAATCCTATCTTCCTATTTAAGAAATAACTAAACAACAAATACCCAAACAACCCTTCCCTAATTCCCTCCTATTTCCTTAACTATTTCCCTCCCAAATCAACCCTCAAATCATCCCATAAATATGTCATCTTCAATTAGAAAATATTTCCTAATTAATCACCTCAAATCAACCCCTAAATATGTCATCTTCAATTAGGAAACATTTCTTAATTAATCCCCTCTAAATCAACCTCATATATGCTCTCTTCAATTAGGAAACATCTCCAAATTAATTCTTTTTTATTAAGAACCTTCCTAAGCGACTCCCTCTTCATTAGGAAATTTCCTAATTCCCTCCTAATCATATTTGGCCAGTCTCTAAATACTCCCCTCCCAAAGTTCCACCTTGTCCTCAAGTGACTCTAGTCGTTGTGGCTTAAACTCAGGTCTAGGTTGATAAGCAGAGTGGGGCATCTTCCGGCTATCATGATTGATCGAATGGGACGCATACCTAGAGTGGGGAGAGTGAACATGTTCCTCCGTGATTTTAGTTAGAGAGCCTACAAGACTAACTAGGTCATCTAACTTCTTTTGAAGTCCTATCAGGTCCATCGAGAAGCACCGAGTGACACTCAGAGATGATTGGGTGTAAGGGACATCATTTAGACACTAGGTTAGTCTCACTTAAACTCACTAAAGGGTGTAAAAATTGTTTGGACAGCAAGCTACACTAGCAGGTTAAGTAACCTAGGCACTTAGGAACGTTGTTAGGTTGAGGACAGCACCTAAACGCTTAAGAAACTAGCCTAAATTTCACTAGATGTGTGCAGGAATGATGTGGACAGCAAACTACAACAAGGCATAAAGTTATCTAAGTGTTTAGGAAGGTTTCTAGAGTGTGGACAGCACCTAAACACTAACATAGACTAACCTAAAGGCCACTAATTGGTGCAGGAAGAGTTTGGACAGCAGCTTATACTAATGGTATAAGCACCCTAAGCACTGAGGAGAGTTGTAGGCTTGATGACAGCACTAAGACACTAGTGAAAATGACTTAGCTCCACTAAATGTGTGCAGGAAATGCATGGACAGCAAGTAAAAACAGAGAATTACAGCTATCTAGACAATGATATGCATGCGAACTTTTAGACCAATGTTTGGCTAGACCCTAGGATGTTTTCTAGTACATGAGATGCATGTCTACCATGCTCTGATACCAAATATGATGTGAAACATATGTGAATGGAGGGTGAATTAGGAACTTGCACGCTTGATCTAGAGAACAATATTATTTAAAAAAAACTTTAAGCGATAAAACGACGAGATAAAACAAGAGAGCGGTGTCATAAGTTTAGGCTAAGTCACATATATAAAAGTTAAATCCACAAAGTAATCAATTACTCTTAACGTTGCATGCGAGATAGGTTTCAACAAGAAATCCCTACGCCAACACTAAAACTAGTCACTACAAGATGATTCCTCACTCAACTCTTCCAACTTCTAGGCTTTAGCGGAGAAAATGGCATGAACCTTCATGAATCACTTATAAACCTCAATTGAGTAGCGACTAAGAGATTAAAGATTTGGAGGAGAGTTTACCCAAATAATAGGAAGATACGAAGTTCCGGAGGCTATAGGGAGGCTTGGAAGGACGTAGGTGGCATCCATGAACCTTCTTGAAAGCGTGGTCAACAATTTGAAACATCCGGACAGCGTTTGAAGACCTTCCGATTGACTGGACAGCAAGATACAGGCGCAGATTTTCCCTGGACAACAAACTGCACTGTTGGAAATAACTTGGACAGCATACGGGAGTTGCCGGACTGTTGGGTAGCAAGGGAAGCTGGCTGGAATTTCTTCTGGACAGAAAAATTGAAATCCTGGACGTTGGGACAGCAAAAATAACTTGTTGTAGCTCTCTGGACAGCCACCAGGAATCTCCCAAGATAAGGGAGGTGGGGGCTCGGGAGGGAGAAGGTGGAGAAGGGGGCGGGCTAGGGCTAGGTTAGGATTTGGCGCAATTATTTGAAATCTGAAATTAATTTCAGATTAAGTAAAATTGGCGGGATGAATTTGAATTTGAATTCAAGTTCTAATTGTGAGAATTAAAGTGGATGATTGGGAATTTAGGGGAATTAAATGGGGAGCAATTAATGCAATAGGAGAGAGAGGGAGGGGTTTGGGGAGAGGATTTGTAACTTCCAAATCAATTTATGTCATTTAGGAAAGAGAATGACAACTCAAATCTAATTTGAAATTACTTTCCTAATTTAGATTTACAAATAAAGAAAGTTTTTGACATTTGAATTTCAAATTTCAAATTGAGGAAAGGGACTAATAAATCCAATTTGATTTATATTGAATTCATGATTAATACTTTCCTAATTTGGAATTCCATATATGGAAAGAATTTGAAATTCGAATTTGAATTTCAAATGAATTCAAATTTTCCCTCTCATGCTTGAGCTAAATTAGGAAGTCATTATGGTGATTGAAATCATCATAATGAGGGAAAATTATGAGATGGCCGGTGGCAAAGGGGGAAGGGGGCGGCTAGGTGGCGGGTTGTGGCTAGGTTGGTGGGTGGGATTTAGGTGGTGGAGCTAGAAGATGAATTGGGTGGGGGAGGTTGAGCCACCAGTGGCGGGGAGGTTGGAAGTGGCCGACGATTGACTTGGAGAAAGGAGATGAAAGAAAATACAAATAAGATAAAAGTAAATTAATGAACTCACAAAGAGATCGTAAAACCGCGAACCTTAGACTCTTCAAAAGGTTGACGGGTATTGCGATTGCCCACAATTTGGGTCTCTCCTCCCATGAACTCACTTAGAGATCAAGCAATGAAAATAAGATTTCATTTCAATATTCATCATCCCCTAGTACAATGCATGAGGCCTCCTATAAATAGGCCAAAATGAAACAAAAACTAAAAGACATAAATGCCCTTGGGGCTACAATATCAAATGACCACCCTAGGGGTAAAATGGGAAAATAGGAAAACAAAATAAACTAGTACATAAGACGCAGAAAATAATAAACTCCACATCATAGCCATCGATCTTCCGATGTCCTCATCACTCATCTTTCTAAATTTGAGAAAAACGATACATATGAACATTGATAGAAGAGACTATTTCCTTCAAGATGATAGCATATTCGCATTCCCGCGAAGGTGAAAATTCTTGAGGTGGCTAAAAAACCTCATTGAATTGATGAATCAAGGATTGCATTAAAAGAGCAACATCCCCTCCCTCCTCCAATATGATCCCCTCTAGCCTGTGTAGTTCCACCCACCTCCTATATGCTCCTCACCGTCATTTTAAATGATATCATGGCTTTGGAGAGCCCTACATCTCCCCTTATCACTACTCTTCTCCCATCCACCACCAACTCCATCATTAATGCCCCCCAGTTGACCTTGGTGTCTCCTAAGGTCTACAACCACTTCATCTCTAGGATGACATCAGTGCTCCCTAACTCTAATGGGAGAAAATTCTCCCTCATCTGAATCCCCTATATGGTCAAAACTACTCTACAGATCCCCTATCCCGTCTCCACCTTCCCTGTACCCATCATCACCCCCAATTAGTTCACAACCTGATTGGGGATGAAATTGTGGATAGCATCACTGTCAATCAACACCATTGTGGGCTCCAAAAATTTGGCCTCGGCCTCCACTCGCTTTTCTTATTCAGCGAGGGAGTTTTAACGAACTAAGTTCCGAGGTAAATTTTGGAAGGCAGATGGGTTTGTAGATAAGACACTACCCAGAGATTTCGCCCTCATTTTGTGAGGACTTTATGATCTGAGTTCTGGTTTCCTATAGGCGCAAGCCCCTATAGTTAATTACCCCTCCCGATCACGAGAGAGAACTTTCGATTAAGGCTAGTCGTCAATCAGATACGTAGAGAATACGTGTTATCTGGCATATAGTAGCAGCAATGGATTTGGAAATTGGAATTGGGTTTGGATTGAAAAGATTGGGAATTTGGGGTTGAAATACTTGAGAAATTTGATATTTAAAATTAGAAATTTCACCATCTAGAACTTAAAGCGGATGGTGGGGGAATGGATGATAGACCCGATCAAGATCCCATGGTTCCGTCATCCCGGGCCATCGTGGTCCCAGGTTGAGTCGACTACCTCCTCTTTGGCAGCTATGGGTTGCTTCGTCCAAGGGAACCTTGTAGACCGGGGTTGAATGTTTGTCCAAGGGGATAAATTTAAATCCACCTTAGCTTACAAAGGGCTCTGTGCCCTGTCGATCATATCCTATTGATTCATATCTCAAGGATTTAACGCCATTAAGGAGCGTATTGGCTCTGGCCATAACCGTTATCTGTGGTGCCATTTGGCGGCAAAACCACTCGGTTCAGAGGGCCCCGGGTCATAACCGTTTACCTGCAGTGCCATTTGGCGGCGAAACTGCCGGTTAGAGGACACGTACCACGTCCTTACTGGCAAGAGATTGTTTGAGAATGGATCCTAGTGATATTTTTGACTAGGCATTTGGCTCTTTGTGAGCTGAAGTGTTTTTTAATTTGTCCACCTCGACAAACTGTTGCGGAGGGCGGATGGATTTCGCTTTAAGCGTTGGGATGGATAGTTTCATTTTTTAAATATTTTTGGAATTTTGGAATTTTTGTGAAGTTTTTGGATTTTTATGGATGTTTTGGGTGGAGCTATGGAATATTTGAAATGGACTTTTGGAAGGCATTTGAAATATTTGTGAACCCCTCCGGTTGAGATAATCATTCAACACGGCCATCATCGGGGTGTTTGGGGTCATTTTCATTTAAAGCTCTTGAACCTTGTCGACTCAGCTGAGCTATTGACTGAGGATCAGGTTTCGTAGGCTTTGAGCCTTTGTTAGTGAATTCATATTGTTGTAGGCCTTGATGGCCTAATACGAATGTTTTAAAGCAAATATACCGGTCGCCACAACTTTATATTTGCTTGATGGTTCGAACCCTGTCAACTTCTATTGACTCGTATAGAAGGATCGGTTTCGAACCTGAATTCACTTGTCAACCCGCACAGCATCCCTAGACGTCACGTGTATATCAATAACACGCTCGCCGGGGCCCATGCGGGTTTGGATTGTATTTTCCCCTTTAGTGTACCTATGTGTATACAAATTACAGTGCATGTGCGGGGGTATTCTTGGAATAGACGCCTTCTGTCTGCTTGTACGGAGGTTGCAGATCCGGTGGAGTGGAGTAGCATCTTCTGGATTAGTTGTTTGATGCTTTGTACAGGTAGACTGTCGTGCACTATTTGTTGATTTTTGTAGGCGGATCATAGTGTACTAACTAATCTTCTGCCTTGGGTTGTAGAAGCTCGTAGGAACTTATATTCTTTATGCATTCTGCTGTGATTTTGGCCTTTACAATACATCTACTACTGCTGGAGGTAGATGTATTTACCTTTAGACTGAAGTTGACTACATGATACTGCATTTACTGTAGTATTTATGCATCTATCCAGGTGTCAATTTCGGGTCACGGGTCGGTGTGTCTAACCGAAATGACCCGAAGCTAACGGGTGACCCGAACCCGACCCGGTTTTGGATACGGGTTACTATTCAAGACCCGAACCCGACCGAGTCGGCTTTCGGGTCAACCCGGATTGACCCGCTAACCGAGTAATTTTCATTAATATCTCAAAAAAAATAAAAAATCAACACAGTTAAACAAAAAATTGCATGAAAAAATTTTTTTTTTATTTATGAATTAAAGCAATTGCTAATTACAATATACAAATTATCACAAAATATTAAACTAACAAATAAATTAAACATAATAATTACAGATTTACAGATTTAAAAAAATTTTAAACAGCCTAATTACAATTTAAAAAAATTTTTGAACTTCCTTGACTAGTTGAAGTTCTGTGAAGTTGTGCCTGCCCTGCCTGCACTCATGGAATCCTGGAGATGATAAGCTAACTGCCCAAAAAAAAAGATAAACAATTAAATTAGGATATAATTTTAAATCCATGAATTAGTTGAAAGTGAACGTCTATTAGCCCTGCAGATTAACCCTTCAAATAATTCATTCATTCAATGAAAATTGTGAGCACAATATATTTATACGGGACCTTGCGACATTTGAGATATTGCCATCCAAGCAGCAAATTTTTATTTATACTTAGTATCTGTTATGATTAGCCCCTCCAAATGCCCTGGTTGCAATTAACTTTTTTTCCACACAATGACATCACAATAAGGTTAGAAGGGTTACTCATCATGCCCTACTCAACTTTCAATCCTTTCGGAAACCAACCGTACATAATTGAAAGCCAACAACACAGCCCAACCAAAGTAACCAAATCGCCTAGGCTTCTTGAAGCACCCAGCAAACAACACAGCCACCAAACCGTAACCAACAATCCCTGGGCTTCTTGAAGCACCCAACAACAACACAGCCAAACCAGCAACCAAAGTTATCACAGTTACCAGCCAACCAAAACAACAACCACCCTAAACACAAAAAAACTCAACAACCTAATGTTTAAAGATAACCAACACAGCATTTCCAAGACATCTCCCCAGAAAAACAAGACAGAAACCAACCCAGCCAAACTAGAAGGAAGAAACCTACAGCCAGTTAGCATAACCATGAAAACCCACAAAACAACCCTGTCAACCCCGCAACAACCCTGTCAAACCCAGCAACAACACAGCCATCCAGTCTCCCTCCTAAACACAGCCAACCGATCTCCCTGCCCAAACCAGCCACACGAAATAACAGCAAACCAAGCTACCCAGGCCAATTAGGCTACCAGCCAACCATCCCGAAAATCCACAAAATTTGAAAGACAGCAATAACATCAAGACAGCAAACCAATCCAAAACAACACCCTAAACACAGCCAAACTTTAACACCCTAATATGTTTCAAGACAGCCAACAACACCAAGACACACCAACCCAGCAACCCAACAACCAGAGGTATCACAGGCTACCAAAACCAAACAACAACACCCTAAACTCAAAACTCAACAACCTAAATGTTTAAAGATAACCAACACAGCATTTCAAGACATCTGCTTCCAGAAAAAATAAGACAGAAACCAACCAGCAAACTTAGCAAGGAAGCAAAACACAGTCCACCATCTCCTCCCAAACACAGCCGACCATCTTCCCAGTGTTCTGCTATTATTTATGTGCAGTTTGACTATTTTTCAGTTTCAGCAAACCATCCCAGCAAACCAAGCATAGAAATAGTTCGATTACATCAAATTTAAAGAAAAGATTAAACAGCAAATAAGCTTGATGTTCATCCAACACTGAACTGTCACAAACATCTCCTTCTGTTGGCTTCACATCTAAATTTAGGATTATCATCAGTTATTGCGTAAATTTCGGGGTCTATTACTGCTGCAATATACATGACTATTAAAAAATAAATAGCATATTGAGATCTTAAACAAAAAAAACATAAAATATACAATGAATGAATAATCACCTTGCTCTTCCGTATAACCAATTCCTGTAGCCAAATTTAGTGCCTCGAAAAATCCGATGTTTTTAATGCACTGCGGTATTGATCTAAAATTTTACCACTATTGCTGAATTGCACTTTCAGATGCTACTGTTGGCTTATTTGGAATGCATAGTATATCACGAGCCATTGCTGAAAAGACTAGGAAATTCTATATTTGGTTCCTTGCCAAAACTTTAAAATGTCTAAATCAATAGTGCTATCAATCTTAGGTTCCTCTACATCTAAGTAAGGATGTCTATTTCAGATTTTCCTAGGTTGTTAAAGCATCCTTTCTTGGAATGAAGCAAAATCCTGTATTTTTTGGGATGGGTATTAGAAATAAAAAATGGAAAATTAAATTTAAATGATAAATATACATATAAAGATCAACAAGTGAACCTGAAAAATTATAGACTTAATCTTTGGCTAGGGACACCCTATTGCCAATTGCCATTCATTCTTGTACTTTCTCGCTATTGGAGGATTCATCGTGAATTGTAGTTAGCACACAATGAAATTAACTTGAGTTTCAAACTTCCTAAGTCCGAGTTGAGTTGCCAGCATAAATGGTTTGTACACCACTCAACAAATGCCATTTTATTATCTCGGATTCTAGAATCACTGCCACTGCCAAAATATCAACTGAATTTCTGACCAGTATTTTTTAAATTCACAATCATTCCAGCCGCAGCCTTCTTAGACGCTGATGGCTACTCCAACAAAACATTTTTAAGTCCGACCATAAAGCCTGTTGAAATACAAGCGGAGTTGATAAATTTGTCTGTAGGAATTATTGTAGACCCAGAAATGAGACAAGTTTACTTTCATGGAAAGGTTCAAGAACTTGCAAATCTCTTCAGCTTTTTCCCATTCCATAGATGTTGGACAGTCTTGTAATTAGAATCAACCAATTCTAAAATGTTGAAAAAAGCACGTTTAAAATTAAATAGCACTGTCAAGCATTAAGGAAGGTGAATTTCCATCGGGTTGGTACATCCTGACGTAAACCTCGTCTCCCATCCAAGAACTCTGTTGAAGCACAATCAAAGAAATTTTGTTTTCTAGCTTGAGATCCCTTAACAATACTTAATGCTCTCTCTTATTTTCCCAGTTGCACGTTATCAATGTCTTCAAACCGTTCTTGAACTACAAGATTAATGATAATGTGCTGTGCAACGATATATGAAAAAAAGCACCCTCCATATCAAGGGCATCACGCCAAATATCAAATGATTTTTTTTTAGATAATCTACAAACTATTATTTGCAGAAGCATTATCCAAAGTAATACTAATAGGCTGTTCTCTATTTTCCATTCAACCAGAAGCAACTGTAAACTGCTCAACAATGAAATTCCATCATGGCGGAGGTGGCATGAATGGAAAAAGTAATAATTTTCTTTTTGCAAATGCCAATTCATTATCAATATACTATGAGCAGTCAAACAAATAAAACCATCAGTATTTATAGATGTCCAAAAGGTCGGGATGTATAAACAAATTCTCTAGTGACTTTTAGATTAACTGTCCATATAAATTACACTTCTCCTTAAGGAATAATTTTTTGCCAATCATTTCTAGCAGTGTTTCTGAAATTAATTGCAAGGTCACGGAGCGAAGATATAACACAACTGCCTCGAAGCCCACCCATTCCACACATTGAAAATGTAAATCGAATGCATGAATGAAGTAGAAAGCAAGTAAACAAGTCCACGAGATTTCAGCATGAATCAAACTTGTCATCACACATAGATATTGAGATCAGTGTTGGTTTGTAAGATCAACTGTCCTATATCACGCCATATTTCTTTTCTTACAATTCAAGGTGGGTCAAGATTACCGAACAGCTTCCATTTTTTGCTATCACATAGATTAAGGTAGTACCCATTTCTGTATTTTTCACATTTTTGTTTTCCAATCACTCGTATAGGCTAAACATTTCATAATGGCCCCAAACCACTGGAGGATCATTCTCGTCCGTTTCTCTAGTAAATTGTCGCATCAAACTATTGCTTCGTTAGTGGGCTCTACAGGTATTTCACAAAAGTCTGTTCTGCTTCATTTTCAATGCAAAAGAAGAATCCCTTGATTGTATTGGAATTCTCCATACTAACAAAAAAAAATACAAAACATAACTTCAATACTTAATGGTTGAAGCTGCACTAAATCAACAGCAGTTACATGCACTGAAATACAGAAGAAACTACACTGAAAATAACAATGAAACTGCCACAGAAATACAGTAGAAACTGCACGAAAAACCGAAACATAGAGCAGGGCTAGTTTGCATTAGAACTAACAGCGCTAACAGCCAGAACCATTAGAAATAACAGCCAGAATGCACCAGAAATAACAGCCAGAACTTTGCACACAAAAATACCAGCACATAGAGCTCGAACATGGCTCAATCTCATGTTGCACAGAATTAACAGCAGTTAGTGAAACAGAAATAAACAGCCGAAACTAAACAGGAAATTGAATTAGACATAGATGATTAGAGCTCGATTTGGCTCGTTTTCAACCACATAAGTGCCATCACTGAAATAACCTAACAGAAAAAACCAGCCAGGAAAACGAACAAAGAAACCTAGAAAAATGAACTCAACTTTGTCGTTGCACAGAAAATAACAGCAGAAATTGCCAAATAATACCAAACATTTAGAGCACGACATGCGCTCGATCTCGATTGGCAGAATTAACAGCAGTAAGTGACAGGAAAAAAGAACCGATTCGAAACTTAAACAGAAATACGATAGATAGAGCTCGACTTGGCTCGTTTCAACTTTTTCAACCACATAATGACATAAGTGCATCACTGCAATAACCTAACAAAAATCCACAGAAACTGAACAAAGAAAACTAGAAAATCGAGCTCGACTGGCTCATTTGCCCACAGAATACGGAAAAACCCTAACCCCAAAAGTAACTTCGATTTCACAACATGTAGATCAAGGAAAAAGGAGAAGAAAGGAAAGAAATGAGAGATACACTAACACGAGAGAGGTAGTGTTCTTGTTGATCCAAAGCAGATGTGCACGTATGAACACCACGAAACCAAGGGACAAGAATCTGCCCACAGAAGGAGAAGAGAGTAAACCGTTCGTACAGATCGAGGAGATCTGTAGAGAAGAAACGATTTCGGAAACGAGAAACCCTAGACGAAGCAGCGAAGCAGCGAAAGGGAGAGGAGAGCTCGACTTTACGGACCGCTTCATGTTACCTACGCGTGAATTGACGAAACCCTATTAAGGCCTTAGCCCTTAAGTTCGAATGAATCCGCTTACGCACGCTTAACCGGCACACGTTTACGCCCGGTAATTATACCGCGCGGTCGAAACGGGTCATGAGGGCGTTACCGGGTTAACCCTGGACCCGACCCGAAATTCCATCCGGGTCACTCTTTACTGAACACCTGGAACCCGACCCTTTTTTTGAACGGGTCGTGTCCAACCCGAAAATTCCGGGTCGTGTTCGAGCGGCATGTTTCGCGGTCGTTGTCAATTATTGACAGCCCTAACTGCTAGTCTTTTTGCATCTATCCGTCAGTGGCATGTGGCACATACATCTGTCTTCATAAGAGAGATCGTTATGTGTTGTGCAGATCTTTTGTAGTGACTTGTAGGAATTCGTATTGTTGCGGGAGTGAACTGACATCGTTCAGCTTTCTATTTGGGATTTTTAATGCAATGACCTTCATTCATTTATTGACTCTTTATTTGCAAGGGATACATGTCTCTCTACGATGACCTCCTGGAAGTTATTTTGCTAGAAATCCATTGTCTTCTGCATCGAATCCACCCTTTCACAATTCTCGGGTGGGTTGTTATGCATTTGTATTTTATTGTAGAAGAAGCCGGTCTTTGATTGCTGGTCTCCAGATTGCCATCTCCAATCAACAGGATGTGTAGGGCATTGTCGTACGGAGTTCGCTATCGAGGTCTTATAGTTGAGTTTACCTCGTGTGGTGATCCAAGTTTCAACCTTTGCCATGATATTGAGTCCAAGTTCAATTCATTCCAAAACTTGAATTCATCAAATTTTACAAATTCCTCGTCTTAATGTCGTATGGCCCGAGTTCGATACGACTCAGAATATTGGATCCATCTTAGCATTCATTTGATTTAGGCTTAATTTAGTTTGATGCTATATGGTTCGTTGTCGTTAGTCCTTTGTAGTTCATCAAGTCTCTTGTGTTCATATGGTTTGTTCAAATAATTGTATCAAATGAGTTTATGTCCACAATACTTAGTTCATTTTGGGTCTGAGGATTCTTTTATTGTTAATTTCGGTCCAATCAAGCTCAACAAGTCCACCAATTGTTCTTTGAGTTCAATCAAGCTACAAGGTTACGATTTCACCCAAAATTTTCGGCAGCTCCCGGCGCGTCTCCCCCGTTTAGGGGAAACTACGAGAAAACTGGCCTTTCTCCCACGCGCCCAATAAAGGCGTTGCATATGGTAGGTGTCTCTTGCGAGGCACCGCGGCCGTGATATTTTCTTCCCCCACTACGCGCAATAAAGGCGATGTATGGGGCTTGACGACCTGGTTTAAATGAACAAAATTTGCTTTCCCCCCGCTCAGAGGGTACTTATTAAGTGACCCTGCCTCGCGTAGGTGCCGCCCACCCGGGGTCCCTTCCCACCACGCCACAATAAAGGCTGTATAGGCGGTTTTCCGTCGTGCGCACGAATCCGGAAGTAGAGTTTAGGCCGATTGCTCGGCTTCTCTAAGCATCAGATGGCGTCCATCCTTACACGCGCCCAATAAAGGCATGCCATAGGAGTTTTTGCGGTCTGCCTGCCAAAAAACAACGCTGAGAATCTGAGTTTAGAGAGTTCGTACCTTCGCAGGCAGCTTCGATGGCT